GCTTCTCACGCGTTCATTCAATATAACGTGAATATATTAATTATTATTATTAATAATAAACAGTATTGTTATTAATATATATGTATCTACATATTTAATAACAATAAGTTATTATTATTAATTTATAATGATTGTATTATTTTCATATAAATATTATATGACTAACAATAAATGTCATTTGACATAATAATATTGAAAAATAATTTTAGCAAAAAAAACACAATTTGTGATAATTTGTACATTTTTTAACTTCATTTTTGACAGACTTTTAATATTATTTACAAACAAGTTCACAAGTTTTTATTCACAACACTTATTAATTATACAGATTAAATAGTAATTTTATTATTTTATGTAACGCTTATAATGAAAAAATCCGCTCGCATGTGGGATCGAACTCACGTCCCCCCGCCCCAGACGCATTCCGGAAGTCCTAGACGCAACCACTTAAACCGCACGGCCACTGAGTCTCGATGAGACCTCGAGCTAATGTAATATATTAATGCCAGTGCCGTATATTTTGTTACTTATAAGGGCAAAGTGAAAACTATGACTAAAAATTTTACACATACTAATCCTGAATTATTTTAATTATTAAAAATGAATATTAAATAATTCATAATAAAATTGTAATCATTACAAAATTCAACTTTTAAAACATTTTACAATTAAAAATATTTAATGGATAATTTAATAAACATCGATAAATAATTGATATTTTTTATTATTCAGTAACAAAATTATTAACATTTATTATTAGATATATTAATAATATATTATGTAAATAAATATAATTTGGAATAATAATGAATTATAATGTTAAATATTATAATTATTATTAATTATAATAATATTTATTAATTGAATAATAATTATTAAAATTATAATAATTAATAAATAAATAAATAATAATTAATTAAATTAATATTAAAAGTTAACATAATTAATAAAATGATTAAATATGATGCAGTGTCAGGAATATTTATTGCACATTTTAATTATTATTTATTAATTATCTATAATAATTTTGAAAACATTTATAAAAAAAAATTTTCCATTTAACTTTCTTTAAATATGAATGTTACAATTAATAATATATTTATTTATCAATTGATAACTTAATGTTAATTATTATTATTATTATTTGAAACAATTATTATAATTATAATTATTATAATATTATTTAATTAAGTGAACACGGTAATAAATAAAGATAAACTGAATATTGAGTAAAGATTGATTCAAGCTTGAATCAAGATTAGATGTTCGAGGTTCACTCATAAAGACTGACCGAGTCTTGAATCGAGCATGGGACGAGCATTGGGTCCAATGTTGAACCAATATTGAACTAATATTGATTGACAGTGATGTAAAGACTGCTTCTACTGTGAGTTACCCACACTGAGCGTTCAAGACTCAATCAACCTTTAATCTATCGTCAGCATTGGTCTTTCGCGCCTGGGTTGTTATTGTTTACAATATTAGATATATACAATACTTTAATTTTTTTAGTTATTCTTTTTTATCAAATAATTTTAATATATTTTTTTAATTGTTTATTTTAATTCTACCAATTACCGATAAATGTTGCAAGTATTGTTTTAATATTTGTGTACGGAACCCGCCATTGCAGTGCGAGTACAACTCATCGCACTTGTCCAATTTTTTTGATATTAAAAACATTTTTATACTTACTTCCATCTTATAGTTATAGGACAGTATTTCTTTCAAAATTATGCTAAAATATGACTTAATAACATGTAATATTTAATTACAGAAAGTTTAAAAGATATACATTAAAAAATATAAAATTTGGAAATTTTCCATTTTTTTAATTTTTTGAAAAAATTGAATACTTATCGTTCTAATTAATATGTTTAAAATCTGTAAATTTATTGTTTATATATATCTTACAAAAGTCATAACTGATTAATTTACAGCAATTTGTCAAAATTTAAAAAAAAAATTCGATTTTTTTGGAAAATCCATAATTTTTTCGTATTAATATTATTTTTTAATTCAATTTATTGTTATATATCTTTAAAATCATTTATATTATTAATAAATTAAAAAATTTATGCCAATCTGCAAAAATTAAAAATAGTAGATTGTGCATCAAGGGAGGGAAATGGATGATTTCCGACGAGTGTAGTTTGCAGTTCGAGGCGTAGCGAGCAAACGAGCCGAAGGCGAGTGCTTGCGAGCGAAGCCGAGAACTGTAAAACACGAGTGGAAATCAATTTTCCTCCCGAGTTGCACATACTATTTTTTCTAACACACGTATACCGAAAGTACAAACGCGGCAGTTTGATTGTTACTTTTGAATGTATAGTTGTAGCTGGGGGCGGTATAGTTACAACTGTGGTAACTGAAAGTTTGTGAAAAGCTTGAAATAACTGAACTGACCCAAAGAGCGTAAGATTACGCAAGTAGCGTAACTTACGTAACTTACGTCAGTTACGTAACTTACGTAAATCATTTATTGTTTGTAACTCGAAAGACTAACATAACTACGTAACTTACGTAAGTTACGTAACTACACCATTTACGTAACTCACATAAGTTACGTAAGTCACTTAGCTGACGTAACTCACGTAACTGATTCACCAATGGTCATACTTTGATTTATACTACGTTCCTAATAATATTACCGAGAAAGCAAGTTACTTTTCCTCCCTCACAGGGAGGGAATGTTACATTCCCTCCCGGTGACGTCACTAGCCGGGAGGGAATGTACATTCCCTCCCGCTCGCAGGGAATCATACACTTTTCTCCCGCTTGACACGTAGGAAATGGTGTACTTTCGGTGCGTGTGTTAGAAAAAAAAATTTTTCTTTAATTTTTTGAAAAATTTATAACTTTTGTTCAGCTCAATATTTTTTCATCAAATATAGCTAATATTTTAAGTTAGACCAATACCTAAAAGATTGCAAAATTTTAATTCAATAGGTCAAGACGTTTTCAAGTTATACACGAACAAAATTTTGCGGACATACATACATACATACATACATACACACATACATACATACATGCATATATATATATATATATATATATATAGACAGGAAATTTTCTATTACCATTTTTGGATTCTCCGTTGTTTAAATAAATAAATTATGCTAGAAAAAATTAATTTCGTGCAATGTACAGACAAAAGTCTGATTTTATTAATATAGATATCGTAGCCATCTAAAAAAAATCGCAAAACTTGATAGATTATTATGAAATTTGACAGCTAATTGTTTTTGATGTTCCTGATCACGAAAACAAAGTCAGAGTTTAAAAATTCAAAATGGCGGATCAAACATGGCGGACAAAATTTTTTGAAAATCTGTGAATTCGCATGAAATTTGTTACTCGGGGGTTTTCAGGGTCGCTGATTACGAATCGGGAATTATTTTGTGACAAAAAATTGTACATTTGGGAGTAATGGGTTCAATACGCAACTTTTATTCAAAGAAAGTATAGTGTTTAGATGGACTCAAAAAAAGTTATGATCAATTTTTCAAGCACATCGCTTTTGTCAACAAAAAAAAATGTGTCCTGTTGTGAGACACTTATTGAAAATTGCTAAAATTTAAAAAGTTTGATATAAAACGTTATGTTTAGTATAAATGATTAAATATATTAATAATACATATTATTATATGCTAAATAATAATATTTATTCGCCAAAGTATGACTATCAAATAAACACAATTTAATAGCTTCAACAAGAGCATTAAAATTGACGCTATTTTGAAAAAGGAAAATTAAATTATTTTCAACCGTAGATTGGAACAATCCAATATTGCATCACAAAATAAAAGGAGAATACTAAAAGAAGATGCATTACATTTACCTTTTCCAATTAATTAACTTGGAAAAAAAGTACTTTGCATTTATTGAAAAAACGCTTTTTAGTCGATTATCACACACAGTGTTGGTATTCAACAAAAACAGTTTAAATAACCGCTTCGGCGTACACGAAAAAGTTGGCTCATATAAAAAGAAATGTTTTTACATAAACACAATTGGCTTTTTAATATTACGTGTTAAAAAAAATCGACTGTCTCACAACTGGAGGTGTCTCACAACTGGATACACTCCCCTAATGTTTATACATGTACACAAAATGCCAATTATTATAAATCTGATTTTTAAACATCTTAAATCAGAAAATGTAATGAAATGTGCAAAAATTGAGTTAGAAAATTTTAGTTTAGAACAATGCTTCCATATGAGGAAGCAGCAAGTAATAAATTTTAATATGACATAAATGAGAAAGCGATATTCGTTATTAATTTAAAAATAATTAAATAAAATTTTCTATAACATTATTGTGAATATAGAGCATATATTTAATTTATACGAGTAAAGAAATATGAAAGTCATGTCATTTTGATATTTTGTAACGTGCTACAAAAGATAATGAGTTTCATAATGATCTATAAAGGTAGAAAAGAGAGATAAAAGAGAAATAGAAATTAGAGAAAAATTAAAGAAGAAAAAGGGAAAACGTAGAAGACAAAATAGATAAAATTAAAAGACGACAAAAGAGAGTAGCAAGAAGATTAAAAATTAGAAATAATTTTAATTTACATGAAAATGTAAATTTTCTCGAAATGAAATTTTCTAAAACTTTAAGTTGGAGAATAAAAATCTAAAAGTAAAACTGAAAAGAATCTTCTTTTCGCTACAGGTGACAAGATATTGATCTTATTTAGATTCTTCAAACTAGCACTTCTGTCTTTGGCACGCGTTGCTCCCAAATATCAAATGTCTACGAAAGAAGAATATGATTTTAACTTCAACACGAAAAAAGAAAGGAATATGAAATACACTTTTCCATGAATAAATGTATTACCTCTTGAATTTTCATCCAAAATAAAAAAAAAATTCAACACAGAATTGTTTTAAATAAAAATATCATTGAATTTAAATAAAAATTTAACTGAATATTTTTCTAAAAATACATTTTAAAGAAGTAAAATAGAAGTGGAAATTTACCAACTTACCCTTTAATTAAACTTCAAAATCATTAGTATTTCCTGAAATTTTGCTCAAGCAGAAATGCGTTTTTTAGTTTTTCACTTGTATTTTATTTTTAAATTTCCAGTATGTGTCATTTCATTTTAAATTGCAATTACAATAGCTCTTTTCACACCATGGAGAAAAGGAAACTTTTTTCCTCTCTATTTTGGAGTGTTTGCACGTGTTCTGCGGGAAATGTTCATTTTCATTAAATTTTAATTTGTTATTTACAATCGCAAGAAATTTGGTATCCTCATTATACAATTTAATTTTGAAACGTACACTGTATTCAAACTTGGGATTTTCAGGGAATTCAAATTGACAATTTTCATTAAATTCGAGCTGAAAATCTTCATTAAAGTCGAACTCATGAGTTTTATTAAATTCAAACTTGCCATTTTAATGGAACACGAAAGATTATTATTCTCTGGCGAGATTCAATTTTACTTTCTTAATATTACTCGCCACGGGATATAATTTAAAGACATGTATTTTTTGAAAACTCTATCTAGGTCCCATTATAAATACGTGTCAGTTGAAACTTTTGCTTGTTACTAAAGTTCTTGTGAGTAAGATTCACCTTTTTCTATATATCGAAATTGCCTCAGGGTCCTATTATTATATTATGTGAAAAGCTCAAGAACCTATTTTTAAATTAATTTTTTTTAGATTCACAGTTTTTAAAATTGTATAGCATCTTTTTTCCTCTTTCACTTTCCCTTTCGCCTTTGCACTGAAATTTTTAAACCGCACCTCGAACATTATTTTGACAAAATCATGTTAAAAAGAAATTAACAAAATCCTGAATTGAAACTACTTTTCTAATTAATAAAGTAATATTAATTTTATTAAAACTGATATTAATAGTGTTGATGTTTAATAAAAAGGTCAATAATTAAATTAATCGTTTTTTTATTATTGTTTGTTTATTTTTCAGTTATTTTTTCAAAAGCAATACAACTCTCAAAATCATAGATGAAGAAACTCGTCAAGTGGCAAGCGTCGCGTACGGATTCGCGCACGACACTGAAACCAGCAGGAAGTTCACTTCTTGAGCTAGACGGATTCACGGGCTCACGTGGGTGAATCTCCTCGCGCATGAACCATCTACCCCTTTCCGTTTTCATCCCTTCTCGACATTTCTCCCTCTATTTTCCAATTTTACCCTCAAAAATGACTCAAACCATTCCCACTCGCAGTTCGACTGTGTTATGAACGTCAACTGAATCCGTAGGTACTCCAGTCTCCCTCCGTCGCTCTTGCGAGGAACATTCAATAAGGGAAGTTAATTTCCTTTCATATTGGACGTTACATCTAAAGGGGGGGTGGGAAGGAGGGTTAGATGAGGACTGGGAATCTTCAATCCTGACAGATGCGAAAGGTAAACGGTGCCCTTAATTAGCGGTGCCTTTTGCTTTCGCAGGATTCCCCGAGTAAAAAATAATTGAGAAAAAAGTCTAGAGAAAATTACAGACTAGGTGCGGGATTTTTTCAGCTCCAATTGACTTCACCCCACTTCTTTCACTTTTTTTTATTTTAACCTCGGAATTTTTTTCAAAAAGCTTTCCTTTGGCTTTGACTTTCTCTGGATTTCAATTTTTCGAAAGCTTTTATCAAAAACGATTTTATTCAGATTTTAAAAGCTCTTTTAATCTCGAATGATTATTATCTCATATAGCTGCGGGGAAAATTCAGGAAATTATTTCAACGTGAAAAAAATGCACACACATACAAGTAGAGTTTAAAATTGAAATGATAAATAAATTATTGTTAAAAAATTTCATATTAAAAAGTTTAAAAAAAATTTTTTTGTTAATGGGCGAAAATAGCCAATACGGATTATTATAATATTGAAGTATTTGTCACTTTGTAATACTCAGTTATAATCTCTTTTTCATATTGTTGTATACACTAAGTGTCTGTCATAATATTTAAAATCAGATTATACATTAATTTAATCTCGTTCAAGATTTAAAATTCTGAATGCAGAACCGAGGCAACAAGTTGTACACTTTTCGCTTGAAATTCCATTAAGAGTACTTTAGAAAATTAACATATATATTTCATTTTTACAAATTATTTTTCCTGCAACATATGTACATAATTTCTGCACTTTTTGAATTTAAAGGCACGTGAACTTTTCTAATTTATTAAAGTAATTAATCAAATAACTAAACGCGATTGTTTCTAACAGAGACATCATTAAATTTCGCTAAAAAAAATTTTGAAAGCAATGTTTTTAAAGTGGTACTGTGATTACAGTTATTAGTTTAAAAATTCTAAACTTTGTGGTAATTTTGTTTACATATAATACAATAATAATATAAATGAATGTCAATAAAATTGTGTGTTATACAATTTTTTCCATAACTTTAAAAAATGTCGTCCTGGCCCTAAAGTGGCCACCATGCGTTTTTATGCAAAATCACTTTTGAATTTTTTGCGATGTAATATTTATCAAAATATATTATAGAAAATGTAAACTTTTAGTCAATTTCTTCGTTTAAATAATTTTAAAATTAATACATTTTAGAAACCCAAAAATTTTATAAAACTGAAGTTACCAACTTTTATGCAATGAAAATTTTTTCTTTTGCTAATTGTTTTTTAATGTAAGAAGCCCTTAAAAAATGGAAAGTGCATCCATATTAAGAAATAAACAATTAGCAATAGAAAAAAATTGCTTTTGAAGCGAGGAAATAATAATTTAGTTGAAATTTCAGGATATTTGGAAAATCCACGACAAAAATAATTAAAAATCACTAATTTCCTTGCCATAGATCATCTTACAATTTTTTTAAATGACTTCTCACATTAAAATAAATAATTAGTAAAAGAAAAAATTGCTTATGAGCTGAGGAAATAATAATTTTGTTGAAATATATGGTTTTTTGGAAAATACGTGTAAAAAATAAAAATTACTGATTTCCCCGACTTCGATCTTTTGAAATTTTTTAAAGGAGTTCTAACATTAAAATAAATAATTATCAAAAGAAAAAATTGTCATTGGATAAACGTAGGTAACTTCAGTTTCATAAAATGTTATTAAAATGTTTAAAATACTTGTTTAATTGTGAAAAATTCTGAACTAAACTAAATTTTTAAATTTAAAGAGATTTGCTCCTAAGATTTGCTCCTACACTGTAAAAAAAGGGAGTTAAATTTTAACTCCCCCGGGGGTTCTATAAAAGTCGCACCCATTAGGGAGTTAATGCTAAGGGAGTTAAATAAAGAGAGTTCAAATTTCACACCCAAATGCTAACTCCCCAAGGAAAAAATAACTCGCGCGGGTGTTGAATGAAGGGAGTTAGAAATTAACTCTCTTTTGGAGTTGATTTTTAACTCGAAAAATTTCACTCCCAAGCGCGAAAAAATGCTTCATTATTCGGTCTATAATGAATAATACCTAAGAATAAATAATTTTTTTTAAATAGTTAATTAAACTGTTCCTTTTATTGGGTCTAACTAGATTCTCTAGGTAGAACCAGGCTAGAACAGCGTGACGTTTCAACATAGGGCCTATAAGAATAAACAAGCTAGGACCAAGTTAATTAATCTAGGTAGAACCTATAAAGGGCCATTAGACAATTTCCACACGGGCCAAGTGGAAAAATTCCAATTAGGCAAACGGTTCGAATTTGGTGGAGCAAATTTTGTCCGGTACACACCATTAGAACTCGACTGTCGATAAACCGGTTGTACTCAGGAGAGGTTTTCTACAGTTTCCCTCTTCTCTGGCGAGAAAACCCATTAACGGGTGGTCCAGGCGGAATGCGAGTACTCCTAATAAAAGTCGGCTGTAGACGCAAATTAGGTTAATATATAGAGAATTTCATAAGTAGAATGGTTATGCTTAATCCAAAAAGTATTTCTCGGGGACTCTTGTCGAAGTGCGTAAAGCCAATAGGGCAGGAGTATAAACAATAAAAAACAAAAAAAATTTTACTCCCAACTCCCGAGTCCGTTAACTCCCTAAATTTTTTACAGTGTACCTTTCTTCGGAGCGTATCTCAAATAATCTCACAAATTTTAACTTAAATTTTTGTTATTAATAAAATTAAAAATTAATAACTTATTTTATTAACAATTTACTTGAAGGATTTTATATTTTTTGTCGTAATTAGCTAAAAACATACCAAAACAATTTTATTTTTGGGTCTGGAATTTTTTAAAAAATGGTCTGGAAAACCTGGAAAAGTCATGGAATTTTAAAATCGATGATTTGTGGCAGCCCTGTAAAAATATTTTAGTTTTTAATCTATGAAATAGTGTTACGTCAAAAACAAGAAACCTTTTTAAATATACCAAACGTTTCTCGTTTTAAATTAGTTTCATAAATGAATCTAATTTGTAATGAGGATAAGTCAATGAGCCTACTAAATGTATTGAGAGAATAATTTATTTAAAAACCAACAAGAAAGAAAAAAGTTGACAAAAATACAATGAGTATAATTAAAATTATAAATCTTACTTAAAGAATAACGATTACTGGTGGTGTGATGATAATCTGGTAATCCAATCTCAATGGTGTTGAGCGCTAGACGTAAAGGGGCCTTCCGACTGTTGTCTTTAATGGTTAAGTATTAGTCCTCTTGTTTGCACTAATGAGATAGTGTATTGTATTGTGAAAATATCTGCCTTTGTCCAGTCGGTTGTCGCCTCTTGAGCAAATTTCGATAGTTCGAAATTTGGAATGTGTAGTTTTAATATTAGACCTTCGTTGATAGTTGAGTTCATTTCCAAATTTATATTTTTTGGAAATTGTTAAAATTTATACATTGCAAATTGATGTATTATAAGAGGTTGATTTAAAGTTAACTTCAAATTTAATACTTGGGGAAATAGTTCACTTTTAACTATGCACGTTCAAAAATAATACTTGGAGATATACTTTGAGTTCACTTGTAGACGATGTGTTTACGTTCGTTTCCAAAAAATTACTCTCTTGTACTAAGCGATGTGTTCAAGTTGATTTCTAAAAAACTACTCTCTAGTCTCTTGTACTGAACGATGTGTTCAGGTTGATTTCTAAATAATTACTCTCTAATCTGAACAGAACTAGTGCCCTTTTTATATAAAACTTTCCTCATTAACCTAATGCTGTTTTGAATCATACACGTGTCGATCTAGCTTATCTGCCAGGGGCGCGCGTTCCATTGCTGAACGACTATGGGCTTCTTCTTGCGCAGCGGGCCTAGCTGCTCGGAGCCTGTTGATTTTCCTAGTTTGTAGAATGGTTAAACTTATATTCCGCTGCTCTTCGTTCTTCCACGTGGGGAAGCTTATGGAAGGTCGTCTAATTGATGCACGATCGTTATTCTTTTTACATGAAAAATATTACTCATCTTTCTTGGATTTGTTATAATTTATAAGTTTGTTTAAATACATGTAAAATATATAATAACAGTTACCTTCTTTATAACATATACTGAATATAATGAAATAATATGAAGAGATTGTATGAATACAATATTTTAATAAGAGATATGTGATTGATTATAATGTAACAATATGAGAAAGTATTTCAAATACATTAATATAATATAATCGTATAATTCAATATATTGAAAGAAAATACACACCTAAATATTATAGTTAAATTAAGTATATTAAGAAGTTACGGACGTAACAATAGGATAAATAATTAACAATATTTTAAGATAGCTTCTTATAAGCAAAAAACAGAGTTTTAACTATTGATTTTATGATTATAAGACAAAAACAATACATTTCAAATAAAATTACCTTAAATTGATTTTTGCAACTATTTAAAAAATTTTTTAGTGAATTTTAGAATGGTGGACACCTGGGGGCCACTTTTTTTAAACCAAAATTTCAGCTGTTTTTCCAAAGACGTCTAAGTTACATTTTCCCTAGTAAAATAACAACATTTTTTTGCTTAAAAGTTAACTAAGGATAAATAGTTTCAGGGCATATATTATTAATTATGTTGTATAATACCGTTTAGGAATTACAGTCGTTTAAAAGATGGGTGGCCACCTTGGGGCCCC